ACATCACTTTGTCTTCCCTTTTGCTCCGTTAAACATGTTCCTCTTGCAGCATGCCTTAAGACCACACACAAGTAAAAATGCAATGAAACAATTGCCCAATTCACAAATTAACGCAAAGGTCAAGGCACTGGTTTAGGCCTGTGCAACTGACTAAAAACTATTCACTCCTTCTGCCACATGATCCAGGAGGCTCTGAGCTGCAACCGCTGAGCTGCTTTAATCCCCTTTAATTTGAGTGCAGAGAAACTCACATGGGATGCTAAGAATATTTTGAGAGTATACTGTGCCCGTTTTGTTCAATTCCACTCCTGACTTGATAAAATGATATATATCTATAAAGATTCTTGGATCGGGCTCAGAGATTTGGGTGGGAATTAAAATGGAGAGTGGGGTGGAGGACTTCCACATGACTTAGAAAACTAATATTCCATGAAGGCATAGTCCAAGATACCCTAATTATGAGAGTAAAAAAGAAACTAAAAAAATGAAAAAGATGTCCAGAATTCATGATCACCATTACAAATGTACAACCTATACACAATACCTACATGCTCACCAGTTTAGGGAATACATAGGGGCCATAAAGTCTCCCAATCCTCACTTACTGGGCAGCAGCCACTACAAGCAACAGAGGTCTATTGACCAGGAAGCAACTGGCTGATGTTTCAAAACACATCCCACAAGCAGACTCTAGTGTTAGAAGGAATTGTGACAGAGATCCTGCTTCTAACTGTCACACTGGAGATCACCTGTGATAGCAATCACATTTAGTATTTACATTTCTGTACCACTTCATAGTGAACTCAGCACTTTCTAAGCAGTTTACGATCTGTAAGCCAATTGCCCCCAACAAGCCGAGTACTCATTTTATCAGTCTATGAAAGGATGGAAAGCTGAGTCAACCTTGGAGCCCTGGGATCAAATTCACAATGTTGTGTTTGCACTACTGGTATTTAACATTGCACCATCAGGGCTCCTTATCACACTGATACTCAGTAAGTTAGGATTTGGGGTCCAGGCCAGCAGACAGTACTTAGCTACATAACTAAAGTAGTTAGATAGATAAATAGGTGATATAAAATCATGGCCAAGATGTGTGTATGTGTGTGTGTCACATAACGTGGTACAGAGAAACCAGATGATGAATGCAGCCCTTCCTAAGCCAGCACCTTCTAAATGTTTCAGGCTACAGTTCCCATGGTCTCCAATGTGCTGGCTAGGGTTGATGTGAATTGTAGTCCAACAAATCTGTAGTATGGTGCCAGGTTGGAAAAAAAAACAGACTTAAGGTACATCCACACTATTCAAAAACATTTCTTAAAAATAGCTGGAAAAGCAGGACTGATGCCAAAAAAATGTCCAGAATCCGGCTGGTGACTCACACATGCACCACTACCCCAATGGAAGCAATCTGACATTGTTGTCCAATGCAAAATGTGCGTATTCAGTTCAAGGTTGTGGAAACAGAGTTGGGTATACAATGCCATTGCATATTTCATTGTACTTCAGTAGTACAACATCACAATTCACATGTGGAATCATCCTGTAACTCTGTGGCTGGCATCCTTGTAGTGACATATACATGCATTAAGTCCACCTTACACTTGTGTATTTCTCATTTTAGTCATTTTGAAGGTTGATAGTCTCTTCTGCTTTCCACAACAATCAAAGCCCCCCTGATAAAGTCACCACTGTGCTTTAAGAATACCCAGAGAGAGAGAGAGAGAACACTTCTATTGCTAGTGAAGAGCAGAAGGGATGGGAGAAGCTATGTTCCCATACCAGATGCAAAATGATGACCTCCAGAGGACATCAATAGACCTCAGCAGATGTTTTTGGCAACATAGCCTGATCATATCACCTCTCAGCCTTCTCTTCTCCAGGCTAAACATCCCCA